TATGGGTCCCATTTAAACACGAGGAAGCAGCTGTATGCTACTCTTTACTGATGCATATTTGCCAAATCAACCACTTAAGGTGGATTTGTAGTCCTCCTGTGTTAAAGAGTAGCTCCATCAGCAGCTACTCCTTTAGCTGATGAATCCCTCCTTAAAAAACTGTAACTTCATGTGGTCATGGGAAACAGCAGCTACAGGGAAGTGTTTTAGTGAATAACCCTGTGGCTCCTGGTGCGGGGAGGATGTCTCTCGTCATGGGTGGCAGGGAGGGGCCATGGTTTCAAGAGCCATGAGAGAGACCTTTTCTGCTCCAAAGGCTTGTTTTTGTGTCTGACATAAAGGAGAAACCTTCACAAAGGTGTGTGATCGGTAGTAAAGCTGAATGACAGAGGGTGTAATGCACAGCAGGGAGACTGGACTGAATGAGCTGTCAGGGGCTCAGGTAAAATTTGCTGAACTGACACCAAATCCACGCACATAATTGTACAAAACAACACATGAAAGCAACCTATGAACCGAGACAAATAAAAAAACACCCTGCACATGTCCTACCATGTCAGCAGAGCTGCGCACACACATTTAAAGGTCCAGTGTGTAATATTTAGTTTGGATCTACCGACAGAAATGTGTTTTCAGTGGTGCATAAACACTTTATATCATTAACTGTTCTATCTACATACACCGCGGGTCCTTACATGGAAGTTGGCATGTTGCGCTGCCATGTTTCTACAGTAACCCAAAGCACAAACAACTCTACAGAGTGCGTTTCATCACTGCGTTGAATATGTAGAAAGAAGAAGAAGTAGTAATTGTAGTAGTTTTCTGGTTTGCTAGAAGAAAGAAGAAAAGAATTAGGACAAATGGAGGACCAAACATAGGCTGAGTGGTGAGTCAGCTGTTGGTTGCAATTCACAAACCTCACCACCAGATGCCACTAAACCTTACCTTTAAAGTGACCGATGACAGGACATCAGATCTTGTTTTGTCTTGGTTGATAGTTGAAGGGCAGAATTTTAAGTTATGAGCAACCTCTAGCCGCCGTGTGACAAAGTGCATGTGAAAAAACATCATCTTGTACTTTAATATTTTAAGGAATTTCTTTGCGCCCCTGGTAGTCTGCTGGATAAAATAAATAACCACAAAATTCCTATTTTGGAGGTGGTGGGCAGGGTGGATGGTTAGATGATTAGGCGGTCTTCACCCAGGAGTTCGGTTCCCGTGTGAAAGAAAAAGCCAACATTATAGATTTTGTTTTTGTAATATTATTAGTGGTAGCTAGCTAGTGTTAGCAATAGTTTGCGTTTTGTAGCCTGTCATGTAGCCTTAGCTAACTAGTGTTAGCGTTTTTTGTAGCATCACCCAGTGTTGTAGTACTCGAGACCGGTCTTGGTCTTGAGACCAGTCTTAAGACCACTTTTTGATGGTCTTGGTCTCATCTCAGACTCAACCGCATTTGTACTCGGTCTTGACTCGGTCTCACCCTCCCTCGTTCTTGGTCTTGATTCAGTCTCAGCCCCTAAAAGTCTTGGTCTTGTCTCTTAACCCTACAGATGCAAGGGAACAGAAAATACTCATTAAAAAACTCACATATGTCGTTTTGGAGACATGAACTATCAACCTCTTCTGTTTGTTCTATAGAAGGACGTGTTGGTTTGTGTGTAACTCTGCGACATATGAAATGCTAACTCTTATTTATCTGTTTTCCCCCAAATTCAAATTTTATTTCCACATGGTGACAACAATACAACCGTACTGATGGTCAGTATGTGCTTCTTCTTGTACAAGTTTCTCCAAATAGTGATGGAGAATGTTGAACAAAAGCTCAATTATCTTCTTCTTTTCAGTAACAAGGACGTCTCCACTGCAAACCTTCTGCTCCCTGGGATCCCCCTCTCTCTTTCACGGTGAATGAAAACAGAAATATAACGCCTGTAAATAGTCTCATAGTTAGTCATGAAACAAGATGAACCTCCTGATGTCATTTGACAAAATATATGAAAGCATGTAAACACAATTACTGAGGAAAATATAATTAAAACACGATCTTAAACAATACATCTGTGTAGTGTGGTGGAGCTATGAACTGGAGAAATCCTGAGCTATAAATATAAATTCACGACCTAGGGACCTACAGCAGGGCTCCTTTTGGCTCTTTGCATTGACCATAAATCCAGCGTGTTCAGACCAGCGTGTCGAGCTCAGACCGTCTTTATCTCGGTGTGAATGAATGCGGCCCTCTCGTTTATTTTAAGGAGGCCAGTCTGGTGGCCCAGCGGGGGTGCCAACACAGAGGACTCAGGCAAAAAAAAAACGCAGCAGGAAAGTCCTTCAGGAAAAGTTGAACCGGGCTCAACTTTTGCCTCAACACATGTCTTCCAGCATGAGGCAGCAGTGGCGGTTCAAAAACATGAAAGTGCTTATACATGATAACATGAACACCATATTTCAACTGTTCATCTCGTCACTGTTGTGACAAAAGCTAAAACTTTAACAATAAATAAAAATAACTTTCCAGACTTGTAAATAAAAAATAAACAAAAAAAAAATGAAGCCTTTAAATTCATGGATCTGCTGCTCAAAACTCAACTGTTTTTGAGTTAGACTTCACACAGCTGGTTTGTATATTTTAACATACACTGAACAAAATTATAAACGCAACACTTTTGTTTTTGCCCCCATTCATCATGAGCTGAGCTCAAAAACTTTCTCTATGTACACAAAAGGCCTATTTATCTCAAATATTGTTCACAAATCTGTCACAATCTGTGTTAGTGAGCACTTCTCCTTTGCCGAGATAATCCATCCACCTCCCAGGTGTGGCATATTAAGATGCTGATCAGACAGCATGGTTACTGCACAGGTGTGCCTTAGGCTGGCCACAATAAAAGGCCTAAGGCTGGCCACAGTAAAAGGCCTTAGGCTGGCCACAATAAAAGGCCACTTGAAAATGTGCAGTTTCACTGTATTGGGGGGTGTATCTGTCAGTATCTGGTGTGATAGTCACCTGTCTGTTCCATCTGAAGTCATAAAGATTACATTAGTCAATAAGATCAATTAACCCTGGTACCATGAGATTACTAAAAGGTAAATCTGATCTGAATTTTAAAGCACGTTTTCAAGAGGAACACACTTTCCAATCTAAGGTTAGCCAAAAAATGTCAACAAGGTGGGTGATTGTAGCTGTTAAAATATAGGTCCTCCTTTTAAAAAAAAAAAGTTAATCGCTTCAAATCACCGTTTTGTTGTTTCTCTCGCTCATTTTCAATTGCCTGCCTACGACTCCCGGCAACTATCTGTCTCCAGGAACCACGTGACGATCAAGCACTTTGGACCGCCGCTGACGCGACTCTCTCTTTAAAGGGCTCTTCATGTACCTACACACTGAGTGAAATAAGTAGTTAGTGAATTCTTCAATTCTTGCAAGTCAGTCGGGGCCCTTTGGAGGGCGGGCCGACACAGAACTCCAAATCAAAACATAAGTAAGTCACAGTTATCTACAGCAGGACTGCCTTTGACCACTTCTGCCAAGTATAAATCCAACTCTGGTCGTTTTTCTTTTCTGAAACTGTTTGAAACATTTCGGTTAAAGTATAAATATATCCCGGTTTGTTTTTGAATGATTGTGAATGTGTGAATTTACGCAGAGGTCAGAGTATTCATGGATGTTACATAAAGGCCTTTGTCTCGTTATTTATAACATAAAATACCCAGGTGGCAAAATGCAGGACCAAAGACAGACTTGTAATAAATGACACATAAGAGCAGCAACTACCCTGGGTTGATTCTGGCCCAAACATCAGGTCCTCTGTATTAGAGAGCTCAGCCACAAATCAGCCCGACTCCGCTGGACCAAGGAACATTGTGTATATATATATATATAGATCCGTCAGTATATCAGTAAGATGGATGGACAGACTGAAAAACTCACAAATCAGGAAGACATTCAGCAAATAACAGTATTACATTTACTCACATTTTGCATATGTCATAATTAGTGTGAGTTGCAAGTAGGAAAACAACAAGTGGATGAAACATGTTTTTGTACCTGTAGGGAGGGAAAATCTTTCTCTCTGTGTCACTTCCACGCTGAGGTTAAAGGTCAACGTGCAGATTAATGTCTGTGCTGCTGATGGGAATTCACAGATTTACAGTGTACATTAAATTATTGCTTTTAATTTCTGTAATTTCACGGATGAAGCCTTTAAATGAACCTTCAGTTGCCCAGACTTTTCAGTGGAGGAGGTGAGGTTGTTGAGCCTCTGAAATCTCTGGTCTATTGGCGCCACCTAGTGGCACTTTGTTGTAACAGCAGCAGTTTGCAGAGTCAACTGTCAGGAGAAGCGCTGCATGAAGGATAAATAGTGTTATATATATATATAGTAGATTGTGTAGTATAGTAGATTTGTTTTCAATGTAGGGAGAGAGAAATATTTAGGATGTTTTTGCATGCTTGAAGAAATCCATAAAAACACAATCACAAAAGGATATTTTTTTTGGTATGGAAGATCCCCAGATTTTATTTCATTGTATTTTCTTTTTTTTAACGTCTTTATTAAAATTATAAAAATCAAGCAGTTGTAAACAAATGTAAAAATAAATACATTTTGAATGGTCAAAGTGAAATTTTAAATTGTATTACTTATTCCCATTGTAAATATGTTTTATCTTCATGTTATATGTTATATGTTTTAATGTCTGCAACCTTGTTAATTTTGCTGCTGCCTGTCTTGGCCAGGACGCTCTTGGAAAAGAGATTTTTAATCTCAATGAGTCTTTTTCTGGTTAAATAAAGGTAATAAAAAAATAATTATAAAGATTAACTAATCTATTTTCGTACCTATCTTAGAAAGTACGGCTTTTTTTAATTGCTTGGGTGATTTGTATTTTATTTATTATATTTGTTCATTTTAAAGTGCTTATTTAATAAATGTTGTCCTGGTCCGACCTCCAAGCAGTAGGGGGCGTTAGTGTTCAACCCACTTCCGTTTAACCAACAGAAGAAGAAGAGGAGGCGGAAGTCATCCGGAGCTTGTTGCTAACTCGCTAGCAGCTCATGATCTTGTTCGTGAACTTCGTCAAACACTTAAAATGAACAAATTGAATAAATCAAACGACTTTGATTCGTATGAGATCGAGGAGCCGAGCGACGAGGAGAGGGCTGAGGACAGGTAGCAAATAAAACCGCTGTTTTTGAAAATGTGTAGCTTTAGCACCATGAGGCTAACATTCCGCTAGCTAGCTGAATGCTAACATGTAAACAAAGTGGAACCGGCTGAATCTGTTTATGATTTTCTCTACACCTCGACTTTATTAAGTTGTGCTAAAGGTTATATAACTGATAGCAGAGCTGTTAGCTGCTGTAGTGCTTAAATGTGACTCTCAACATCTCATGTTGTCTTTGTTGGAGAGATTCAGATAACTGCATATCGACCAACTCAGATATTGTGCTTTGTGTTAAGTGATCGTGTAATTCATGTAACTTGGGTGACTTGGCGTGGTTTGCGTAGTACCTAAGTCCAGTTTGTATTTTTAGTTTTTATATTGGTGTATTTAATAATAACGTGTTTGGAGCTGGGGCTGCAACTAACCATCACTTTCAATATTGATTAATGTTTTCTCAACTCATCATTTGGTTATGAGAATATCAGCAAATGAAAAATGTTATAAGTTCCCACTTCCCTCTATAATAAGGTGTGTGTGTGTGGACCAGTGCTGGATTTGGTTTTTGATTTGGACTTGTTGCCTGAAGAATGTTCAGTGCAACTGAGGAAATTGTGACCTTCCCTCTCGCTGTGTTTCAGTTCGGAGGATGAGCTGGATGTGCTGCTGAACGGGACTCCGGAGCAGAAGAAGAAGCTGATCCGAGAGTATCTAACTGGGGAGAGCGAGTCGTCCAGCGGGGATGAGTTTGAGAAGGAGATGGAGGCGGAGCTCAGCTCCACCATCAGGACCCTGGAAGGAACTTGGGGTCCAGCAACAGCAGGTAACATTGACCTGCAAGTGTTGACATTGTAATCTATTATACTGGAAGTTCTTTTAATTGCTGATGTTTGTGTCTTTATTCTTCAGCAGAAACCCCGGGAAGCGGAGGAGGAGCAGTTGACGGCCCTGGACTTCCTAACTCCCGGATGTACGATGAGATTTACTTTGACTCTGACTCAGAGGGGGAGGACACACCAAGTAAGCATGAATGTCTCCTACTTTCTGCAACACGTAATTATGCCACTGTTGGCCTGAACGGCGATGCATCATTAAAGTAAGTTTAAAACCCACGTCTCTCTTTGCTCTGCAGGTGGCTCCACTGGCCGGAGGCGGAAACAACGGACCATACCGACCAATGATGAGCTGCTGTACGACCCTGACGAGGACGACAGGGACCAGGCCTGGGTAGATGCCAGGAGGAGAAGGTAAGACGCTCAGAGGGAGTCCGTAATGTAACATTTGTTTGTCCAGAAAAGCTCAACACAGTAAAAAGTAGTTTTTTTCTCTCCCTGTAGTTGTTCAGCCTTTTGACTTCCTGTGCAGGTATCAAAGCAGACAACGGCCAGCTGCAGGGTCTCAGTCGCAGCCTCGTCAGTCTCAGGGTTTACCCAGCAGCGACGCCATCCTGAACTGTCCCGCCTGCATGACGACGCTCTGCTTGGACTGTCAGAGGTAAGACAACGCGAGTCAGGATTTGTTTGTGCCACACGGAGGCATCTTTAAACTTGACAGGACAAGCTGCTTCCATGTGTTCTTCTTTCCCTTTCATGTGCCCTGCCCAGTCTACAGCCTGTTGGGCTGTTTGTGGTTTCTGTTCTTTGTGTGTTTTTTTTGGAAACTCTCTCTCTTAAAGATACTTTTCTTTTCACACTCCACCAGTTTAATTTGGAAGAGGAGAAATAGTCATGTGTCAAGTGTTTTTTAGATTTGAAAGTTTGATCAATCGTCAAGTCAAAAGTACTTTTACTTAAATTATTAATTGTTTTGTCTGTAATATGTCATTTATCGGTCATAATTTCAATGGATCGAACAAGAATGATTAGAATGATTTTTTTTAATTATTGGGAGTGTGAAGATAATGCTTCTCACCAGAATGAGTAGGTCAGTCAGGCGAGCGGCAAAAATTTTGATAATCTTTTAATAAGTAAAAGATTCTTTTGTTTTAGCTTCTCACATCTAAGGAAGGTTTTTGATTTGGGAATTTTTTGACATTTTATAAACTAAACACTTGACAAACAGTGAGTTAACAGATAATGAATTATTTTAGTTGCAGCCCTGAAACAAGTAGTTATTGTCAAAGAATCTGAGTTTGAATTAATATAGATTCTTGTGAAACGGATTTCTGCAGCTGCAGTTGTGTAAAAACATCTGCACATCTGTCAGATGTCAAACTACCCTTTCTTAAAGGGCACATTATTACTTTATATTAAATCAACGTGACTTGTGTCCACGCAGGCATGAAAAGTACAGGACGCAATATCGAGCCATGTTTGTCATGAACTGCAAAGTGAAGAAAGATGAGGTGTTACGCTACAAGACCCAGCAGGAGAGGAAACAGAGGAACAGGAAGAGGAGGAGGGGGCAGAAAACAGAAACTCCATTGGACGAGGCTCCCGACCTAAGGCCGGCGGGGATGGACGCTGATGAGGTTTACCACCCGGTTCAGTGCACCGAGTGCTCGACCGAGGTGGCCGTGTTCGACAAAGACGAGGTCTACCACTTCTTCAACATCCTGTCCAGCCACTGCTGAGACAAACAAGCAGACCGTTTTTTATTTCATGGGTTTGACCGTGACTCTTCACCTCGCAGCAGCTTCTTCAGCTACAGCACTACAGAAGAAGCTTTTTTTTTTAGCGTCCTGGTTGAGAGGGAAGAATCCTGCTGCGGTTGCACGGAGTGCCTCGAAAACAATCAGAATCAGAAAAATAAAAACTCAAAGTCGATCACATGGTTTGTCATATCTTCAAATGTTTTTCGGACTTAATACACAAGAATCTGAATTTTAAGGTCAATGCGATATTAATATTTGAGAATTACAAAAGCTGGGGAACGATAGATTGGCTGTTGGCTAACCTGTTTGAGAAGGCTTCCTGGTAACACTTTACCTTAACACCCTCCGTTTAGCATTCATAATCAGTATACAAACATTGAGTAAATATGTTTATAACACACTATAATATAGCTGTAACCAGATATAAGTGTTTATTATTGTATTTATTGATAACCGCTATAACTCCTCCTGTGGGTGACAATAAGTATGAATGACAATGTAGTACAACACTGTTGATTTAAATTATATAAAATGTGTTGGCATAGGTGAAGTTATAATAGTTGACAAATACTGTACATTAATAATAAACACTGAAAATGTCCTTATATCTGCTTACAACTACATTAGAGTGTCCATTAAGTATTTGTATACTGCTTATAAATTCTCTTAAAACTAAATGTTACTCGCTTGCCAACTTTTGTCTTTCTTTTTTTTTTAAGAATTGTGACCAAGAATAGTGTACCGAGAGGAAGCAGTTGAATAAACTTGTCAGTGCTTTCAGTGCAAAGACACATCTGTGATTCCGATTTCTTATTTTTTATCTGCTAACATGTACTTTTATTGTTATATCTCCTCTGTACACTGTAGGCACAGGGAAGTTTCCACTACAAAGTACAGGACCAATCTAATCAAGAAACTCCTTGGTCTGTTTGTTTGAGTTGTAAACAGTTGACTGGAATGTAGTAGAACTTGTGAAAGACTGCTGTTGTGTGCTTGGTGCTCTAATGATTGAGTCAACATAAGCTAGTGTGTATTCGTGGTAATGAAGGAACACGTCACCATCACTGGTGTGTTTTAATAGTTTTTCATTGGACTTCTATGGCACAGAAGAAAAACATATACATTATCAGTCAATACTTGTTAGAAGGATGAATAATTGTTCTTCTTCGTGGGACATTAAAACACAAGTAGCATATGAATGAAAATCGTTTCATGTTTTTTTTTATTGCTTTAATATAAAATACAAACATTCAGTATGGGTACATAAATGGAGAACTGGCCAGGGGAGTATAAATACAGTAAAGAAAAAGACATAAAACATTTTTCTGTGAAGATTCTCAGTCATCCAGGTCATAGTTATCCAAAGAAGGTTAAAGTCAAGGGCAACTGGACTTGGTTGAAGATACTGGAAGACGTTTCGTCCCTCATCCAAAGGACTTCTTCAGTTCTGACTGACTGGCAGGGAAATTAAGCTGTTTAACCTCAGTGGGGTCGTTTGCCAGGATTGTTGATACCGCTGGATCATTAGTGTTCCTGGCTGTTGTAACGACAGTCGACAACCCCACTGAGAAACATCTTCTAGTAACTTCAAGTCCTGTTGTCCTTGACTTTAACCTTCTTTGGATAACATAAAACATAGTAAAAAAAAGACACAAACAGAGATTATAATTCTACAAATATTCATTTCACAGTTTAATAGCTTTTCTTTATAATGTTATCACTCCAATATATAGAATATAACTTAATTTCTTTCTTAAGTATAGAGAATATTGGTTTTGCATTTGCAAATTCACATTCATGAATATATAACCTAGCAAAAACTAGTGTAAGATTAATGAAAAGTACTTTAAAAACACATTCATCATTGGTAAAACCAAGTGAATTTCTTATACAGCAGTCCAAAATCACAGTAAATATTGTCAATTAAAATATCTGCAGACATCTTTCCACAATTTCTTGGTGTAAGTAACGTTACAACGCCAGAATAAATGGGCTAAAGTTTCTTCATGTAGGAAACACAAGAAACACATAGGGTGGGTAACCTTTTTAAACTTCACCAGAAAGGATTTTACAAGGTAGAAAACAATGCAAAATCCTAAAAGAAATATCCCTGACTTTATTTCCCAACACATTATTTTGAAATCAGGATGTTGGAACTCCCTCGGCTGCGTCAGAGCCGTGCACTCGAACGCGGGGTTGTGATTGGCTGAAAATGAGCACCTTATGATCCTACGTCATACGCTATTTGGAAAATGCCCAACCACGACTTACGTAGTCAGTGGGGGAAAAAATCCGAGGACAGAAAAAGAAGTTGGTGTGTGTGAAACTGGAATTAACCATGGCCCTGGGTGACTGTTGGAAGCAGTTATCCTGGTTTTACTACCAATATCTTCTGGTGACGGCGCTGTACATGCTGGAGCCATGGGAGAGGACGGTGTTCAGTATCTTTTAACCTGTGAAATAACTTTACATGGCTGGACAAGCGAGCTAATGTGCTAACTTTAGCTAGAACGTCAGCAGAACTAACCTAAGCTAGCTCTTGCCCCGGATACATAAGTTGTTGGTTTTTTTTTTAATGTTAATCGATAAACATGTTTAACTTGTGTTGTGAATATCAGTTATAGTATTACAAATGTAAATTTGGTGTTTGGCAAATTCGGCATATAGACAATGTAACCGGGTGGTTATTGTTTTGGTTAAAATGGAAATTGATCAAAAGTGTTCACCTGTGCTAAGACAGACAAATTGTATTTTTAATATAACGTTTTTAGTTTTTATTGAATGCCGAATTAAGCAGACATTCCTATCGTTTCAATTGAAGTCTCAAATTTTGTTTAATGAGGGAAGTGCATTTACCTATAAGTAAATGAACGTTGAACACATCCAATTTTAAAAGGACCTTTGCGTAAGTTGACTAAACTTATCGTGCTAGTCGCTAACGTGTTTTACTGAAAGATCAATTTTAAAAAATCACATTTGTAATAACCATTCATTCATGTTTAAGTGCCGAGTTAAACACTCTTCACTAATGGATTAGGGAGTGTCTTAAACTTTGTTGTACTCCCCTTAAACCTTTGCCTGTAGGTACAACCGCATTAAAGAGGTAGAATTGTTAACGGAGTTCAGCATATGCGAAATAAGAGGACGGGCGGCGCCGAGGCTAACTGCAAGCTAGCTGCAGGCGTTTAAGGACGCATAAACACTGGTGACTCATACATGCTAGTTGATACTAGATACGTCGCGTGTTCCTTATAGAGCTGCAACTGAATAGATTAGTTGTCAACTATGGATCTGAGTAATTTATTTAAGGAAAAGAAGTCAAATTCCACCTTCTTACATATGGCTATTTCCTGGTGTCTTTATGCCTTTATGACAGTAAATTAAATATATTTGGGTTGACATGACATTTGAGGAGGTCATCTTGGGCTTTGGGAAACACGGATCGATATTTTTCAGTATTTGCTGACATTTTATACACCAAACAACACGGGGGGGAAAAACAAAATAAGTTTTAGTTGCAGCCCTAGTTTCTAGCTTTATTCGTATTTTATAAAACAGAATCCAAACTGTGATCATAGTAAAACTTTAAACTGGAAGGCCAGGTTCATCTACCAGGAAAGATAATTATTAAACTGTATCATGTTTAGTGGTGTTATGACTGTACTATGATCTGTTGTGGTGCAGTAAGTGTTAGTATCACGCATCGCCTTCCTACAGTTGCAGTCACCCTCGGCCTGCATCTCATCATCCCTGAGGGTAAGGTGCGTTTTCGTGAACTACTCCGATGGTGGTGGTGTTCTGCTCCTTATCAGTCTGAGTACTGTTCGCCATCAAAAGCTGCTCAGGGTCATGCTGGTGATTTTTTTTAATAAGTCGGGTTATTTGGCTGATAATGAGGCTACAAAACCATGACATCAAACTTTGCCATATTGACGCGTCACTACCAGGCACAGCTATGTATATATATATGAATCTGCAGGCGGCGTTTCAAATGTAGGACACAACATCGTGATGTGAAGCTGATTCAAAGCTCAGTCTTGACAGATAAACGATTGTTGACAGTTTACTTTTTCAGCCCCCTGCAGATGCATTAGTAAATCTCTGTAGTTCTTCCTTAACATCTCGTCTTCAGACTCCCTGCTGATCTCTGTGGCTGCCATGGCCATTTACACCGGCTACGTCTTCATGCCTCAGCACATCATGGCTATCCTGCACTACTTTGAGGTCATCCAATGACACTGTGATCCCGCCCACCCACCCACGGGTCCCATCTGTCTCTGGCTTCCTGTCCGTCCATCGTCCTGCCTGTCTGTCTCCTGGCTGGCCGTGAGGTGGAGATTGTTTCCAACCATGCTGAGGCAGAACTCCTCTCCTCTTTCTTTTTTCGAAAGCTAATTCAATATCAAAGGTCGTGCTGGAGGTCTCTTTGGACGATGCTGTTCCCCGGGACTTTGTCCTTCACTGAAATATATTGGGTTTGTGAACAATGTTGGGCTTGAAGACGAGGTCTTAAAAGAGGGTGTGCTTGGTTTCATTTGAAATGTTTTGTTTTTATCTCCTTAAATCAAGCGCACCTTAATGTTTTGACAATGTGTAAATATATGGATGTTTGGAATGATTTGATTATTTTATTTTTATCATACCATCGTTGTCTTAAGAGTTTTATGCAGAGTCAGGAAACAAGGCGGCTGATGGACAAAATGCGTTTATTTAATTTTATGAGCCAAATATGATTATTAGAGCAGGACCTGGTCTCTGGATGAGGCCTGATTGTAGGTAGATGCACCACATGAACTACTGCTAAATGAGCAACTTACTGTACGTTGAAGACATCATTTCCTGTGAAGACAAAGGCAGTTGCATTCTCAAATTAGCAGAATAATTAAGAGATTCATTGTCGATCTGTGAACACACATCTGTGGTAAATACTCTTCTAACTCAAGGTCCACTTACTTATTATCTGTGCTTTTCTCACTGCCTTCATCAGCGAATGGAACGTGCAGGTAAAAGATGGACCAAGCTCAGCTTCCTCTTTTCATGGCAGTTTGTTTTGCAGTGATGGAGAAGTAATCCCCTGTAAGGTACATGATGGGATAGCGACAGAGAGACAAGGGATAGGTGGTGCAAAAGGCAAAGCTCAAAAATGCGAAAGGGGTGTAAAGTAATCGCACCTGAGATATGTAAGTAAATACAATTTGCAGCTGTTTGTTTTACTCCTGAAATAACACCTGTGCCGATCTGTACCAGCTGCCCGACTGAGGGAGGTGCCTGTGTTTTTAATACAGTCACCGCAAGTTGCAGCAGCACTTGGGAGAGAATCTAACGACTGTCTGTGCTGCAGGATGGAAGTTGGGACGTTGCTTCAGCATTTCTCTGGCTACCTGTATACGTTACCTGTGGCTGCAGCAGCCTGTGGACATGCATCGTTGTGTAACGTGGTGATAGTCGTCAGGTCATGGATAAAGTGCATGTCATTACAGTAGAGGGTAGTCTTACCTTGGAAAGCCGCATCAGTGTGATGAAAAATGATTGTAAACAGGTTGAAAATTACCTTTAAATTCCGACTTTTATTTGAAACTGTACAACAGGTCACATTAATGGTTCCCTCTTTGCACAGACATGATTAATGTTTTAAGAAGTTCCATTTTATTATAATCCATATTTTATGATATGTGAAAATAAATTGTGATTCTTTTCCTCTGCAAAACTAATTTATTTTTCTTGATTTTTGTGTATATATATATATATTCTTGTATACGCATTTGTAATGTTTTGTAGTCACACATGATGGCGATATTTATGGGTTTTGTGTGCTACTGATACTGTTCTATAATTGAAATCATTAAAGGGATATCTCATTAAGCTGAAGCAGTTGGTTTTACCTGTCTAACCTATTGTTTTATTTTGCTTTTATCAGTCAGTTGCGAGTGACGTTTCCGTTCTGTTAACATTGATTTTGTTTGAGTTTGTCACGTAAAGCAAAGAAACTGAGCTTTGTGTCAATATCCAACAAACCTGTACAGCATTTGGGCCTCGTGGTGCTGCATTTGAACACACAGGAAACGTATTATGACCGACATCTGCAATGTTACCCGCAATAGTCTATAATATTCTGATGAAAGACGATGCTTGTAGAAGTCAAAACTGCTGTACTTTTTCTTTTGGTTTGAAAGGTCTTAAAGATAATCTTCCAATAGGTTAGCAATTTTCAGTTATTTTCAAGGGATATAATTAACTTTCCTTTTAACTGTGTCTTAAAATGCAGTTTTACAGGATGTACTGTATCTATGATTTTGTTTTCCCTGATATTGCAATTATTTGACACTAGATGGGACTGTTTCCATGCTTTTGAGCCAAATTGCTCCATCTACCACAGAAACGCTCCAGCATTCACAGAGAAGCTGTGTCTAAGGGGGCTTTGACACCTACCTGGTTTGGAAGGTATTATTTAACTGACCTCTACATCAGGGGTCCTCAACATTTGTTCAAGGGCAGGAAGCAGACACTGTGGCGGCTTGACTTTCTATAATATTTTCAACTTTCGGTTTTGACGCTATTATGCAGCTGCTCGTTATTGTGCACGAGACACCTGTTGTAACAGCAGATGTCATTTGATAGCACAGGGCAGAGAAGTCTAGGGCAGCTACACAAACTATTGTCGGATAGTTATTGGTATTTTCCATATGTGTGAGCAGTCATGATCTGACTTTATGCTGCAAGAGTGTGGATAGTGAAAGTGAAAGGAGCTGGTTACCTGGCTGAAGGTGGAGGTGTGCAGCCTGTAGCCTGCAGCTCACGGTGTCTGCTGCTGACTGTTGCATTGCTCACTGCAATATTTCAAACTGGTCCGCTGTCAGAAAACTGTTGAAAATGACGTACAGACGCATTTTTGATGAATGAGTGCGGGCAGCGCTAATCTCATTTACAGTGACTACTTCAAAATAAAAGTCAACTTGTGTTTCGCCAGTTTAATGCTTTTAGTTTTTCCTCGCAATCATTTTTTATTTTTTTTTACTCAGTAAGGGATGTGATTGAACATGTAGCGAAGTACAAATCTTTAAACAAAACATACTTATGTAAAAGTAAAAATACAGATTTCAAAAAACTAATTTAAAAAGTACAAGTACACAAAAACAACTACTCAATTAAAGTAACGTGAGTACTTGTAATTCGTTACATTCAACCTCCGTGTTTAATAAAATAAAACATTTCGATCGGTTCGAAGTATCGCGATACGACGCGCAGACGTGGCCACCGGCGGCAGCACTGAGCGAACAGCTGCTGCGAACAACTTCAGGCGGGGAGCGACGAAGAAATTAGGCGCCGTATTGGATTTTACGCGAGTTGTTTGATTTGGCTTTGGTGTTTATTTCTCTGGATCAAAGTTGTTCTTTCAAACACGGCGGATATCGACGTGGATTCTGCCGGTGTGTCGTCGAGATGTTCGCCCTGCCTCCAGAAGGGTTCGTAGTTTAATTTTATTTACAACGTTTTGTTTGACAGGCAACCTTTTCAGTTTAACGATACTGAATGTGGGCCACACAGGTGGCTGCACAGGTGATTATCTAACTTTTAAAGCATACACTGCCTGGAAAACGTCTTCCATCACCACTACAGTGAACTTTATGTCGCTGTTCTGTTTATTTTATCTAATACTTTACGTATTTAGTTTTGGTGTCCACTCATTTTCTCTGTAAGGTTAGCAGCTCCCTGGATAGTTCGACCATTTCTCATCTTATCTTGCCTCCTTCCTTCCTTCCTTCCTTCCTTCCTTATTTGGCATCTATCAATGTTTTAATCCACGTAAAATAAAACCAAACAAGGCATTTTACTTCACTTGATAGAACACAACACACACTGCCTGCACACACATGTTGCCACTCGCATCCTTTTTCAGTTCATTGTGCTTTATTGGCATCGATGTTTACATTTCAGTATGACATCATGACCATTCAATTTAGCAGTACAACGACAAAAATAACAAATTAAGACAGAACATACACTACAATACCAGAATAAATCAGATTTAACCTGAACACTGAGTGTAATAGTTCACTGAGTTGTGACACAGGGACACGTGTCCTCCTCCTAGGATTATTATTAATTTATTATCTGGAAATTCTTTGAAATCTGGTGTGAGTAATAATAGATTTCTCAAAATATTGCTCTCTTATGCTATTTTTGTCTTACAGCGCTCACATACTCTGTATTCTTTAGCCAAGTCTCCCTTTTTTCAATTGCAAGGGTCACTGAGTCTGTTCTTGGGAAGAAGCTTCCTCTGCTTGATCTCTCTGACAGCAGAGAGATATTCAGCCATTTGATAATCTCTGTTTAGGGCCAGGTAGCAACGTAGTTTGTGTTGTTTTTTTGTCTCTTCCTCCCGATGTTCCTATAAGTATTTTTGCTGAGAGTGATCATTGGGTTTACTCTAACTGGTGTTTGTAAAGCAGTGCTGGTTTGAGAAAGGTGTGTGTGAGACATGTTGCAGGTTTGTTAAAAGTCTCTGGACTACCTGGCATAAGGGACTCTCTTCAGGGTTCAGCTCTTGGGAGTCTTATGTAGGACTGGGCAATAAAACAATAATGATAATTATCGCAATATAATTTTCCTCAATAACAATATTACAAATGTTCAGTACATTTAATTCCTCACAAACAAATTAGCACTTCATTTTTTAATTAAGATATTTATTTTGTTGAGGAAAAGGGACTCAGATTTGTTAATCCACTGTTTGGCATCAAGTGTTTGTTCTGACCATAAAGAAAAGTTAAAAAACACAATTAACCATCTGATTTCTTCAACTTTCACCCATGAGCAAAAATCAGCCTTTAAAATTTAAGGAAATACTGACATTATTATTGACTTTTATCGTAATATTAATCAATATCGAATGATTTTTTATTGTCATAACATTTTTGGCCATATCGCCCAGCCCTACTTGGAAACTCGATCTGCAATGCATCAGAAAGTTTAGTGCTCTTCTTTTCCGCCCTTCGTGTCTTTTTTTGAATGTGCAGGGGGTTTCTGCAGAATTGGGCACGCAGGGTCTCAATGGGATGTTTCTCCCATCTCAACTCTCTCCCCTTAGTGAAATCCTATTGGCCATTCAGCTCCGGTCTGCGCTACTTGTAGTTAAAGCCCTTTTCTTTCAGGTTTAAAACAGCCTCAGGTGATAGGGTAGTATGAACACTTTCAATAACTATTCAAAGAATGCAAACAAGCACAAAATACACAGCAGTCATACAATTATAAAATACCGCAGGGACAATATAAATCAAATAATAAGAAAAAACAACATACATTTAAAACAAGATAAACATATTTATCTGCTTGTATATCTGTGCACAAAATTGTTAATCACATCTAATACATATGTCATTATGTCAGTCAAACAAAACAAAAACCCAATAAATTTTGTAAATAATGTAGTAAATAATTTTAGCTTTTTTTTGAGTAGCATAGTGTTGTAAAACTATAAATAAATTAAAAAATAAAGATATTACATCAGGATGAGCACACAAATCTTCCACAGCCGATAAGCACAGACAGAATACGAAACAGTAAAGGACACTATACAAAAATATTTTAGGAAACAATCAAAAAAGTTGTTTATATTTTTTATAGAACTATTTAACTGTGAAACATGCTGTTTAAATCATCATAATAAAGTTATACAAGTAGTAAACACTGTACAAAAATACTGAAGTACTGAAGTGCAGCTGATCAGTGTTAATTTCTGACCATTTTGTTCACATTGGCAGATATATAAACACAATGGACGTACATGATATTGTTTTCATTACATATAATACCTTTTAAAAACTTAACTGTACCAAGACCATGACTTGACTTAATAGACTTGGTAACATGCTACCAAAAGTGACCTTAAATATTAAATATGCACAAATGGGTGAACCATTTCAGGGCTCCTCGCCAAGTCCGTGGAACTCTGTTGGAGGGATGAACAACATCCCTCCACAAGAAATCCCCTCATTTATATACACAACATTTTATTTATTTAATCAAGTCTTCTAACTGAGATCAAGAACGACCTCAGTACAGGAGATAGAAAGATACACGAACACCGACATAACAACAGGTCATCCGAGACAGTCACAGACATCACTACACGGAGTCATTTTCAAATTCACTAAACCATTCAGTGAGTGTTGGACCACAGACACATCTGCATTTGATGTTTTTCATCTTTTATTCAGGTTTTTCCTTTCGTTTGTCCCCCGTCTGTATATATTATTAAATCAGAATAAATTGCTCACAAATCTATAAATGAATGGTATATAATCAGCCCGTACTCACCAGAAAAACGGCCGTATGGGTCGTAGCATCTTATTACGACCCATAATTTACATTTTATTATGGTATGGTTATGGTGGTAGCATAAGAGGAAGTCAGGTGACCAGGGCTGGAAATTATCAAGCGCCAAATGCGGGAAGATTTTCTGTTTGGCGGGTAAATGTCGGAAGGCTACCCGGCGCGATTGGCGGGTGAATGTATTCGGTACGGTATCACCATATAATAGTTTTTTGACGTTAGCTAACAGCGGATCAGCGTTGTTTTTTTGTTGTGTGTCGCACTTAAATTGGTCCCCGCTGTACCCAGGGATCTAAAACCGTGTAACACACGGGTTAGAGGCATTTATTGGTTGTTGTTTATGTTCATTTCAGGTTTCTTGTGTTTGATTGGCGTAGATATGTAAGGGGGTGGGCGTTAGGGGATTGGAGTCGGGAGCCGTCAGATCGGGCTTGGAGTACCTGAAGTGTTTTTAGCATTTAGCTAGCTAGCTACCACCGTAACATTGCATACCTGTCAACCCTCCCGTTTCCCCCGGGCTTCTCCCGTATTTGACCGTTCTCTCCCAGTATCCTCCCGTTCAAATGTTTCCCCGTAAATCTCGTTTGCTATGTCTCGTTTGCTAAAAAAATATGTTTGGCCGGTGGATTTTTTCATCTACCAGTCCCATTGGTAGGTGAGCCAAAAAGTTAAATTCTGTGCTTATTTGAACCCAAATCATGACCTTTTCCTAAACCTAAGTCATTTTATAGCCCTAACCCTAATAAAACTAAAACCGTTGTTAACTGTGTGTTAAATGTCATGTGATTTACGTGATGTGACTAAAGCTTGATTTATTCCACCGTGTTACAGCCGCTGGTTTGGTCGCTAGGAAAATTGACTTCAAAGCACGTCCACTGTGTTGACTTTTGTCGGACGAGCAGGCTAACTTCCAGTTTAACCCCACGCTAACGTGAATGGGGGTAAAATTGTGTACGTGCGGCTGGTGTAGTAGCCTTTTCAAATGATATTGACCGAACAGATCACATTCTGATTGTGAAACAAATCTTTTCGCTCAGGTTGTGACGTTCAAATATATTGATCCACCGTGTTACAGCTGCTGTTTTGGCCGCTAGTAGAAGTTACTACAAAGCACGGGGCTCTTCCGGTTGATTCGGAGGCATTGCGAGGCTATCCAGGCGACCAATCACAGTGCTTACGGTCGACTCGACGTGTAGTTAAATTTTTGAGGACGTGCACGTCAGGCGACCCCTATTACAGTGTAATTTATACTTTTGCGTCGAAGTGATGGCGTAGGTGACAGCGTAGGCTACAGGGCTACACAGAGGGTATGCCGTCGATTCAACACAGAAGTATAAATTGCACTTTACGCATATGGGTCATTAACACTTAGGACTTTGGAGACATGTCCCCACCACTTTTTGAAAGCGTAATTTGGTAAAAGTCATCTGGAATAAAAAGAAATATTACGTAAGAAATGGGGCTGGACAATTAATTGAAAAGTAATCGAAACTGCAATTCAGAGCCTCTAACCGATGTACTTTCCCCGTGTCGGTTATTTTGGTTATTTAATCCTGGAAATAATGTGTATGTTCATGTACTTTCTCCTTGAAACACTGCGTGTGTAGTCACGTGACTCCGCCCCGTCCAGTCCTGCTCAGCCTTCAGACCGGAGTCTGAAGCACAGGGAGATGTTAGCCAGCGCTAACCGCCTTCACTTCCAGCAGTTAAAAGGAAACAACAGACTGGGGCTGGGCGATATGGCCAAAAATGTTATCACGATAAAAACATTTCATATCATTCGATATCGATAATTATCACGATAAATGTCAAATTATTTCTTTCAAGTTTAAAGGCTGATTTTTGCCCCTGAATGAAAAATGAAGGGCCAGTTGGTTAATTGTGTGGTGAAACTTTTCTTAATGGTCAGAACGTGACAAACACTTGATGCCAAACAGTGGATCACTTTACATATCTGAGCTAGAATATTCAAAACAATTATGATAAAATCTTTTTTCAAAAAATGTGATTAGTAAATCTATTTGCATCACTTTTCCTCAACAAAATAAACATATTAATATAAAAATTAAGTGCTAATTCGTTCGTGATTCTAATAAATTAAATCAAATATTTATTGAAGATATATTGAACATTTGTTATATTGTTATTGAGGAAATTATATCGCGATAATTATACAATTTGTTTTATTGCCCAGACCTACAACAGTCAAACGTTTTATACCAGACACACTGTGACCTACACTGTACATTTACTGCCGAACTTATTACTCTCTCGCTTTCAGCGTCACTTTCTGCCGCTCACTCTCTCTCATTCGCTCGTCCACTCACGCGCTACAAACACATTGCAATGCAGTTAAAAGACCTAAGTTAACTCTGCTGCTCTTCTAACAGCACCTGTCAAGTATTTCCTTGGATGAATGAGGAGAGGAAGCTCGCAAAGTGTGTTTTACCGTGCTCGCACAGTATTCTGCATTGATATTCAATAATAGAGTGAAAGTCTAGTAGTAGTGGTCATAATTCAGCAGCGACGATGCGCCGAATATAGAGGAACCATCTCTTTAATGTGCACATCATCAACATTACCTTATTAATTAACATTAAGATAATGGATTTGTAAAATCTGTGAATAAATAGACCCAGCTTTAAAGGGGCTATATGTAAGTTTTTGACTTTAATAAATCAAATTTTCATTGCCTTATTGTCAATGGGCTCAAAAATGAAGCACACGCCTGTTTTCTCCGTTGCTTGCATCAGCCACTATTCTGCTTTTAATGTGAGGTCTCCGGGTCGGATTCAGCCCTGTGCGCGCTCCCGAGCCTCTCTCAGACTACAGCGACAACACGGCAGCTAACGACATGCGGTCCACTAACACCATAAAACAACCGGCTCACAGCAAAACACGGGCTCCATGTAAGGATACAAAACAAAACTGAAGCCCATCAGACCAAACAGGTTCAGACGATGTCGAATAAGAACAGAGTGAGCATTGGTAAAGTTGGAGAAACAGAGGAAGTCACGTTAGCTCGCCGGCTAATACAGAGCAGTTGCTAATGTTATCGGTGCAAAGTTATATCGCTTTCCACATTAATTAACCAACTAATGCAACCCATAATACTATCTTGTGTACCACAGATATTATGTCGAAGTGTCAAAGCCTGCAAGAAATGATGTAACGGTAAAAAGCAAATGTGGAGCGATTTGTTTACTATCATATAGTAATGCAGCCAAGAGCAGCCAGCTAACGCTACATTAGCTCGGACCTGCCGCTGTTTTCTTTGTGACGTTCACTTTAGATTTATTGCCTTTTACCGATACTCAGGTACACAGCTTCTCCACCTCTCAGTCGCTGTAACTAACGTGACCCACATAATATACAACACAGAGGAAGAGCCATCCACTGACACTACAGTAAAGTTACTTACTGCGGTCTTATTATTAAAAAGTGTGACACAATCTCGTTATAATATTCAGTCCAAACCTATTACTGTAACGTTGCAGTGGGAGTTTACCTGAGTTTCCAGTATATTGTGTGAAGCTGTCTCCCTGTCTGTCTTTAGCCGCTGTCACTTTACCTTTTTTCCGGCTCGCCGCTCTGAATGAAGTAACGTTACATTATGGAGCCGGTGTTGATCTACCTCTGAGACTTTGATGAACATGTCTGTGTGAAAAGCAACACCCTACATGCTGGTGTTTCTGCGTTTATTGCAGGATTTCTGTGTGAAAGCGGTTGTGTTTCGGATTATGCTCGCTCATGAGCTCAAGCCAGCACGCGTACGAGCACACGCCTGGTTGCAATCTTAAAACCGCACCGCTAATGGCCGCTGGAAACTCCATAATGCCCCTTTAACAGTTGAGCATATTTACAGTACAAACCTAGTCAGTGAAATATGAGGGCATAAAAAACTACAAAAAACAACAAAAAATAAATAATCGTTCAGTAATCGTAATCAAGGTGAAATGTTCAATTAATCGTGATTTTGATTTTAGGTGAAATCATCCAGCCCTACTAAGAAATGAAAAATTTGCAAAATAAGAACACATGCAAACCAGTGTAAATATAGAAGAAACAAATGCCCATTGTCCATAAAAGTAATTTAAACTAAAATAAAACTAAAATGACCCAAAAATGCGTGCAAACAAACAAATTCTTGACATAGTTGCTTGCTTGCAGCGTCGAAACTTTAACTTAACATCTAAACATGAGGTCGATTTATTATCTTTAGCTCACATTGTTAATGTTATTCCTTAAGTTTAAGTTCTAGTTTGTCATATTTCAGGGCAGTAAAATTGGACAGGCCTGTTGTTATCGCTGGGCTGACCTCCACGCACTGGTGCTTTCTTTACAGTCTATGTGCTTTTGGCGTTGTTTGTTTAACATGTTGCAGGTGTGGATGTGATGGATGACTGTTAACTGGTGCGGTCGAATACATTGTTGTGCATAAAACGCACAACAATTTATTTTCAGATTGTCGACTCTGTAGTAGCCTACGCTTATGCCTTATAGTATACTTTGACCTCATACCTCTGTCTCCCCTGTTATATTTCCTAACATCTTATGTGCTGAAGAACGCTTAAAAGTTTTTTCCTCTGAGCCTTTATGTCCCCACTAAAACACAAAGTGGACCAGTACTTTCCAACAATCATCATATGTCTTATGTTGTTTTGGGACATTTCACAATCAACATATTTGGGTATATAGATGTCTGTGTGCGTATATAATTACATTTCTATACTTTTTCATACCTAATGCCTGTAAAGTTGAACACTTCTCTGAAACAGACTCAACCTGTTCCAACTGTAACCTGTACGAGGGTGCTTTTTATTTTTTTTTTTAGAGCAGTTGCATAAACCTGAATTAGTTTCACCCAGGTGGTCCTAATCCTCTGTGACAGTCTGTCACTTTATAAGCTTCACTAATGTAGGACTTTGTGAGGTATTTTTATGATGTGGCATGGCAGCAGATTGTCAGGTGTTCATGTTATTTTGGTCTCCGTCATGAACTTGACTGAACCATGCTGGACAAGAAATCACGTCCCACGATGCTCTAAATGCTGCTTCAGACGCCTTTGTCAAGTCTGCAGGGAATATCAATTACTGGTGATCTCACGGGCGTGAAAATGATCGGAAAAATTGATATGTGCTGATTATCAGCCATCAGCAGCTTCAGTCAGCTGTACAGTAAACCTCAGGCATTATTCCTCAGATTACAACACGTACGCACGCTGCCAAGGAGTCGTTCTTTCCTTTTCTTTGGCAGCAGATCAGAAGAGAAGCAGAGGTCTGGTTACTGGTTAACTCAGACGATGAAGCTCCTCTCACGTACGCACGCTGCTGCCTGGAGTTTGAACCGCCATAATCTGAGGCACAAAAACACTCAACACATGCATACAGTACAGTCTGAGTTCCCTAAATATCCTTTTATTTCCACTTATTTTTAATTAGAACTGGAATTTTCTAGACTCTCTGTGCAGAATGGACTCTTTGTTTTATTAATCAGAATCAACACGTGCTTGGATTTTGTCTCTGGTTGTCATAGGGCTCAAATTAACAACGTGATACTGAAATGCTATTTAAAGGAACCTGATGAACCTGAACAGACGTCAGAGAGGAGCTGAATCAGCTTAATGGTTTTAAAGGTGGTGCTGCATAGTACAACTGTTTTTACCTGTCTATAAATGAACTTGCAAACATTTTGGTTGGCAGTGTGGTTTGCTTTGTTCACTTGGGACAGCAGCATGGCTACATTTTCACACCTGTGCACACCTAACCAGTGGAAATAGCTGTCAGCTTTTTCAATTTCTTATTTTGCGAATTTCAGGTTCCTCCCCTTGGAAAATAATCCAATCAGAACTTCTTCCTGAGGGTATTTGAGCCTTAAAGGATCAGTTCACCCAAATTTCAAAAAACATTTTATCCCCAGTGGTATCTAGCTATGCAGGTAGTTACAGTTGGTTGCCTTTTTTTGTGATATGCCGATATCTGGCATTTTGAGATTATTTGTACTGGCCGATATCTGCACTCATGAGACGGATAAACACAAAATGTCTGCGGACACATCAGCAGGCAGCCTTGTCAGTGTTGCAGCTGTGGATCGATGTCAGCGCTCCCCTTGTGAGTTTTGGGATGGTGGTGAAAAAGTTAGTTTCAAGCCCTAAATGTCCTCAGTCACTATCGTCTTTTCTATCCCAGACAAAATGACAATAGATCTTACGGCTGAACGATTAATCATTTTCAAATCGAAATTGCGATCTGAAAGAACTGAAAGAACGCAATTAGCTAATCGTAAAGAAAGCGATTTAAAATGTAGGTTAATTAAACAGCGCATCTGACCCGTCGTGCAGTTACAAGCAGAGCGGGTACAGGGTGTGTACATTTTACAGTAACAAACGCCCACTCCGCTCTCTGCAGGCTAACATCACACATCCACATGGAGCATTTCAGAATAAGAGCGTTTTGCCTGTCTGATTTTGCTTATTTGTTCAGTTGTCCTTGATTTTTGTGCTTCTACTATTTCTAAGTAGGCTACTAAGTTAAATTGTTTCTTTTTTTTGTCTGTTTTAATTGTGTTCATTGTTGATGTGCGATCGGGAGTCTGCACAGGGTGAAAATAAATAAATAAAATTTTTTCCCCAAAATCATTCAGCCCTAGTAGATCTATTCTAAAACCATTACTGGCTAGCATTAAATATATATTGTTATATAGTGTAGAGAATAATGCAGTTGAATGATGTCACCATCTTGTTGCTTATTGACCAGCATTTTATATTATTATTACAGTGATATATCTAAGTTAGTAGAGGCCGATATATGTGCTGAATACATCATCTACATGTAGACTGAACAGTATACTGTACATAGGTAGTAAAACCAAAAGAGGCTAAAAAGCTCAGTACAGCTAAAGGAAACTGCGTTTGGGTAATTATCAGTAGGTTTGTCACTGTGAAAGCCTTTTCACACTTTAACAATTAACCCATTGTTTATATAAAAAATATTGATTAGTGTAGCTTAAACCGAGCCTTGAGTCGGCTAAACAGAGCCATGAAAAGTGATCCTGCTTTAGCACAAGGAGCTGTTGTCAGAAAGCAAATTAAATACAGTGTCAGTGAAAGATTTGCATTAAAAACACTTCCTTATGTGTCTTTTAGCTGATAGGGTTACTGAACTGCTGTCAGAGAATGGGTGTCTATCCAAGCTGATGTCATGTAACAGAAACAAGCTGAACTTACCAAATAACTCCCCCAGGCACTCTTTGACCTTCTGCTCTCTGTGTCACTGCCAACACTGAGCTTTGTGTTCGAGCAGAGAAAAAAGAAATCCCAGTGTTTACACTGAAGCCAGTTTACAGCAGATCCTGATTGATTGGGGGGCTTTAGCGGGTGTCACCGTGCTGATTAACGCGGGGGCCATGCGGCGGAGCTGGCACAGCTTCTTTCACACCGTCACTGTTTTATCTGGCAGCAGGAAGCTGGCGGCTGTGTGGGGCCTCACGTATACACACAGTTCTGAGAAACGAAGCTCCGGGGAGCGAGCGCCGGCAGTGCACAGTGTGACACGTCTACACCGGTTGAATCAACATGACGACTGATAATACGCTTCCACTATTAAATATTTTGTAATCAGATATGGGTTGTTTCTTTTCCAGATGACCATGAATGCAACAGGGCAGGTCAGTAGGGGAGCCACTGACACAAGTGCTGAATTTAAAACTGATAGGCACTGATAACAATTGTGATACACAGGCCAACAATAATATTTACAGTGTTAATTACAGATGGCTTCTTTTAGATGTCTTGTTTTGTCTGATCAACAGTCCAAAACCTAAAACTATTCACTTTAGAAAAGCAACCAATCCTCACATTTGAGAAGCTGAAACCAAAGCTAGATAAAAGACTTTTTAATGGACAATTAATCGATTATCAATATTGTTGATGTAATGCTACTTTAACACATGCTAAATTATTTCAACCCTGAGTCTATTTTCCATCCCCTGAGAAAGACCATTAGATTTGTTGGAAAAGCTCCGGAAAAAAGCTAATAAATGGAGTTTACTATCAAGAAAATATATAAATATTTACATTGAAGCTGGAACCACAGAGCTCATGCCAATTTTACTAAAAAAAAAAGTTAAATTCATCAGTAATCAAAACTGTTACTTGTAGATTGACTAATCAATTAATTGACATATCAATTTAGTGCTATACTACAGGCCATTTTAATTGACGACTGCACTACGATGAAGCACGAGTTTAGTTTATTTACAGTGACAATATCATTCTGTTTTAGGGCTGAAACGATTTATTCGAATAATTCGATTACAAATTCTTTGCTTCGATGCCTCCTTTAATCCATTTAACTATAGAGCGCACTGTTTCACACGGACAGTTGTACCGTCGCACATCGCGCTTACGCTGTGATCAAGTAAAGACGAAGTGATTTGATGGCGGTGTTTGCAAAGTGGAGGAAGAGAGAGAAAATAGCGAGGGACGAAGAAAAAAGTTTTGGGATTGTGCGCGTCAAGCAAAAGTACTTCTTATACGATTACTGGATGAATCTGTGAAATAATCTGTAGAATACTCGATTACTATAATCATTGTTAACTGCAGTCCTATTCTGTATCATGTACTTGTTAATGTCTGAAGTGACAGCAGATTATTAACAGACTCTTGTGGATTAATTTGGCTTTTTGGTGAAGTCGCACAACAGGTAGACATTCTGCATCTTTAACAAGAAAGACTATTTCAAAGAAATAAAGTAAAACGACTTCACCAAAAACAGTTTATCGCCTGAACAAGACAATAAATACAGAAAATAATGTTAACCTGCCGTGCTTCAGAATTCCTCTGAGGTTTTTTTTTTGGATTAAGATAAGGAATGTCTTTTCTGTATTCTGTAGTATTTTACAGATTATTTCATAGATTCATCGAGGAATCGGAAAAGAAATGCTTTAGCTCGGCGCCCCCGCCACCTTGATCAGCTGTGCAACGTTGCATCACAAACTCAGAGTAACCAGTCGAAGAACATCAACAACAAACGCATGTTTATACATTTACAACTAAGAATTGTGCCTTACCTCGACTAACCTGTATCTCAAGCATGTTTTACGTTCAACGCTAATGTTGATGTTACCTTGTTTCGGGTCCGCTCCGTGCTTTTAGCTCAGATGCTTTTGTGGTTCCATTTTAAAGTAGAGACACAGGCTATATCGAAAAACTTGCGATGTTATATGATACTAAGTGTATGATCATTTTTCTAATTGGTCTAATTTGCTGCTATTAAAGTGCCATTTGTTTTGGAAGCAAGAGCGTAGAGCGGGCGGCTTTGATTCAGGAGAGCCGGTTGCCCGCTAGATCGGCGGTTAATTCCCCGACTGGCCTTTACACTACACATATAATCATTTCCCATTTGAAGTTTAAAGCAACAAGTCCTCAAACCAGAGACCACTTCCCTTAGAAACAAAAACAACTTTTCAATCCACCAATTAAATAAGGCGCACACACTCTTAATCTAAACTAGGTGCCTCACATTAAAACACTTGAAGGATTAATGTAAAGACGGCCTCCTGAGGATTAAATTCATTTGTTTTAACCCTCAGTTCCTCCTTGACCTACATGCGCAAACTCATGTTGTGCAGCCAAATATTGTTCAAATTCTAGCAAAAATCCTGTTTCCAAAGATTTCAGGCTGAATTCAAATAAATTTGTATAAAATAATGCACACAAACAAATCTAGAATATTTCCATTTAAAGGTCTGGTGCTTCTATAAAAGTCTGTAGTTTGAATATTTCGCTCAATGTTAACATCATATAGGTCTGACTGGGGCTGGGCGGTATATCGGTACTTTAAGGTTTACTGATATGTTTTCAAAAGAGATATAAAATAAAGACGGTACTGTTTAGATCAATATAGTTTGATGTTGCATTAATTAGCCAGTGTTTGCTCCCCTCTCCCCCTCAAAGCTCAACCCTGCCCCCCCACTCTCCGGCTATATCCACTCTACTGCGTTTTCATTTTATCCCATCCAGGCTGAAACTGCAAATCCAAACATCAAAAACGGAGAGGTTTTTGTTTTAATACTCCGGGGTAGCGTTTTAGTGAAGCAGACACTCACATTTGGCTTCCTGATTGGTTGGATTATCGGTCATGCAAAGCAAAAGCATTGCTTGAGCCCACTTCGTTGTAGTAATAGGAGAATAAAATAGAATGGACTTTATTAATCCCACAATGGGGGAAATTCACTCGTTGCATCAACTCCAGTACAAAAGCAAACCAAAAACAGAAGCAAACAGTAGACAAATAAAATAGACATTAAGTTACTATAAAAGAATTAAAATTGGAGCAATATGATGGTCACGTTATGTTGCTTCTGAGTTAAAAAGTCTGACTGCAGCTGGAATGAAGCGCTCCCTCTTGCACTTTGGGTGCAGCAGTCTGCTGCTGAAGGAGCTGCTTAAAGACACCACTGTCTCAAGCAGGGGGTGCATCGTCCTCCCACCCACCTGCTCTGTGGTGTCCAGAGGACAGTCCAGGAGTCCAGAGGACAGTCCAGGACAGAGCTAGCCCTCTTAACCAGTTTATTTAGTCTCCTCAGCAGATGGAGGCGGCTTTGTCCCTTCTTGTACAGGACATCTGTGTTGGTGCACCAGTCCAGTTTATTGTTGGATGTGTTGTGTATCGGGGATATGATTTTAGACAGAATCTAATGAGTTTATACAATTACAATTAAATGCTTTTTTAGGTTCTGATATTATTTAGGTTCAGTAAAGACCTCTTTGAAACAACATTTCATCATAAGGGCCGGAAATATACAGAATATGGGGGAGGAGGGGGGGAAAGAAGTGGTCTGTAATTTGTTTATAAGCATTTCGGTGGAAAGTCAGAAAAACTGTTTATTAAAGGAGTTAATCTGACAAATCTATAAAGTCGTGATAAGGTCTTGACATTAAGCGTTTTCTGACAGCTGAGTGAAAGACACTGACAAACCCACCAGCGGCAACTAAAAATAGACCCAAATACAAGAGTTTCTATTCAGTGATCACGTTTAAAAAGTCCAAACTCTGTTTATTGTTATTGTTATTATTATCATCCTGTATAGGCTATCTGCTCTTATCAGCTGCTCTCAGTCTTTTCCAGGCGCGTGGTCAACTTCACACTGTTTACTTCCTCGCGAGTGGGAGGGAGGGAGCGCGAGGGCTACATGCGACTTGTGTAGTCCTCAATGGCGGCGGGCACGCCCAGTGCGCGGGCACGTAGCGGGCGAGTGGAGTGACTTTTGCTTATTTTACTTTCTTTACATTTTCCCAATGTTAAAGCAACGGTGTGCCTATGTTGGGACTTCCTAGTAAATAAACTGCTGAATACTAGTTTATGTTGCTTTTGTTTAAAATGTAGTCTGCATGTTGTGAAAAGGCCTCTCGGTCATTTCCGTCTATACGTTGAAATGTTTGACACAATTATAAACAACAGTCGGTGTAATAATAGATGCCACTGGGCTACTCGGTCCCCCCTCTCCTCCCTCTCACGGCGTACATCACATCCAGCACGTCCCCTTGGTCTCCCCCATCGCATACTTTCACTATAAAGCCAACACAATGTGACCGGATGTTCAAACGTAAACCTTCAGAATAAAAGCGTCGCTCTCCAATGTTGCTGATGCGCTTGGAAGTTAAACGGTAGCCTCATGGTTGGTTATATTAATAAAATATATCATTGTCTTATTATTATATATTGATATTTTAGTGCACTTGATAAATTTAGCTTGTATAATGTCACAAAAAATATTCAGAATCAGGTCTCTTGTCAGGTACATTTTCACAAACATGTCTCTTTCACAAACAATGGTCTGAAGGGTACTTGTGTAGCGCCTTTCTAGTCTTCTGACCAATCAAAGCGCTTTTACACTATCTCACATCCACCCATTCACACACATTTATACACCGATGGAACAGCCACTGGGGGCAATTTGGGGTTCTGTATCTTGGAACCCAAGGACAATTCGACACACAGACTGAAGGAGCCAGGGGATCGAGCCGCCGATCTTCCAAATAAAGGGCAACAAGCTCTACCTCCTGAGCCACGGCCGCCTTACAGTACACATATACATAAGTATAAAAATTAAAAAATAGTAAAAAGTATGCTAAATAATACAATGTCTGTATATATTATCATATTCATAATATGAGCAATAAAGAATTACTGCAATGTACTCTGTTCAGAGTTGTTGAGACAAAATAATCCAAATACCCACATGTGTATTACATTTAAAATTAAATAAAAAAACTGAGAAAAATCTTATCATTCGAGTAGATGAAATGTGAGAAGGTTTGGTATTTTTGCTTGATAAATCATTTTCGGTCAATCGACTAATTGGCTTTTCCAGCAAAAGCGCAAAATTGTGTCACCTTCCTTACTGGTTGAGCTAATTTTTAAATCTATTTTTATGTAATTCGTTTATTTTCATTTTCACCCCCCCCCCCCCAAAAAAAACTGTTGAATATGAACTTCTACCAAGAAATAACATGGCACAGTACGTGGCGGTTAAATGCCTAAATGGGGACAAACGTGTGAAATAATATGCAAGGAAAGGAATGGACTGCTGATCTCACCCAACAGAGCATTTATTTTGAATTCAAAATCGTATACGCAACCGGAAGCAGCGTATTTGTACACTTGCTGACTTGACAATGTTGCAGCCTTAATAAGAGCTCGGAGATAAAAATGAGTCCAGACACGCAGGATCAATACAAACCGGCTCTTCTGCTTTTACTGTTGAATTTGAACAGTCTATCAAACATCACATGAGCGAGACCCGGAGGGAGAAAGACTTTATCTCAGCACACCTGTCATATAAAATCAGTTCTTTTGCTGTCTAAGAACTTTGAGTCCTTCACTCTCAGTCTGAAATGCCTTTAATCGAGCACGTAGGACTTCGGGACTCGGACCTGGAGCGTTTGGCGTTGGAGCGGGTCGTCCCGGGCCTGCTGGATCAGGGCTTCTGCTACGTGGACGGTCTCCTCGGGGAGTTGGCCGGGGACGCCGTGCTGGATCAGGTGAAGGAGATGCACCGGTCCGGAGCGCTGCAGGACGGCCGGCTGGCCGGTTCCGTTCCGGGCGTCCACCGGAGGAGCATCCGCGGGGATAAGATCGCGTGGGTGAGCGGGTCGGAGCGCGGCTGCGAGGCGATCAGCTTCCTGCTCAACCTGATCGATAAACTGATCTCCGTGTGCGCCAGCCGGCTCGGGGGCAAAGCGATCCGGGAGAGATCCAAGGTAAGCCAGGCCAAGTGCAGCGCGAGTCTGGAAAATCAAGATATCGATCCAAATAACAGACCAAAAAGTATATTAATAATTATTCATAAGGAGTGGGACGCAACAGAACAAGTTTTTTTAGGCTTGATTTTAATCGATCTGTCATTTATTGATCGATTTAAAAGTTCTAATCAACACACATTTGTTGATATTTGACCTTATTTTTAAACTGCAGGATCTTAATTAAGCACAAGCTGCTCTTACTGACTTAAAGTTTCTTGACAGAAGACAATGAAATGCTTTGTTTGTCATTACAGCCACAACACATTAATGGCATGAGAGGGTGGAAGTAAACAAATGCAGAAAGTTTCATCAGAGATAATAAAATATATTCTGTAAAGTTACAGTAACAGAAATATATAAAAGTACAAAATCAAAAATCAATAGTGCAAATTTTCCCGCAGAAATCTGAATAGTTTTATCTCAAATCTACACGCAAGTCGTCAAGTCTCACCCAGCAATGCGTTTCACTTGGTGAATATGTTTTACAGGTTTATTTTGTTTCTCTTTTAGAAAGGAAACAGCAGATTCTGTGTAAATAATGTCTTAATATGTATAAAAATATAGATTTTCACATAAAGGCCCTGCACACCCATCTGCTCAGGATGACGTTTGGCAGATACTGGAAATGTGGTGATGTCACTGAACTTCATGGACTCATTAAACATTAAAGATGTGATTTCCTGCCCCAGCAGGTGCAACCAAGCTGACAGGGGACTCATCAGCCAAAGTAATCACTTGTGTGTGTGTGGACCAGATGTGTGCAAGGCCTTTTTTAAATGTTCATTATGACACCTGTAAAGGTGGGTTTATACTTAATGCGAGAGGTTAACGAGGGTCCCGCCGTCGATACTATATAATCTATGGTTTAATTTCTCAACAGACACCAGATTAGATATGATGTACACTATGATTTAGAGCGACGGTCTCATCGTGTCTCGTTGCTGAACAGGAGCCTGCTGACGTGCAGCTGCCGTGTCGTGTTCACAGTGACAGTGAGCAGACGTCTCTGTCTGACGCGTTTGTTTTAGTGAATAGCAGCAGATTTCTGAGCTTTCTTCAACTAACTTCACCGTCAAAAAACTGCGGTTTTAAAGTCAGATTTTAAACCTTTTTTTCGAGCTTTTGTTTACGTATTACAAAATTGTTTCGGCTTCTCTCGCTTTTACAGACTTTGTGCTCACGCCGTTCAGTAATGCTGAGGTCGGACACTGGGCTGGACTCAGGTTGCATGCAGGTGATACCAGATGCATCAGATATTTGTCATTTCAGGCTTTTCCTGGTTTGGTCATTCATTCAGGACGCTCAGTATTTGTCTTTTAACAGCTCATCCCATTTACTTGCTCTCTCAATAACTATTAACCTCCTCAAAATGTTACTCGGCTCTCTTGTGGTCCGAAAGATGCCCCACACTTGGTGCCAACGCTGGGTAGTATTGATAAAGAGGACTGTGTTATACTCGATGCATTTGCTGCATCTCAAAATGAAAGAAGAGCAGTGAGCTTTCGTTGAAAACTACGTCAGTCTTCAGATCACAAAGCAACGCTGACCGAAGCTTTTGTTTTCGCTTGACGGAAACATGTTGAAATGTGTGAGGTGTTGTTGCAGAGGCCCTATAGTATGTTCCTCCTTTTTAATGTGTAGGCCTTTTCGCTGCAGTCCAGCGGCGCTCTCTGGGCCCTGAGCCAAGGCTTCAGAAACCAGAACACGCTCCAGGAAGGACGGGAAATTTGCTGAACCAGTTCAGGTCCACAGTGTGTCCTCTGGTGCTGCAGCATGTGTTGATTAATCATACAGGCAGACGTGTTGGGGAATGTGGATCCAAGTATTTACCAGGAACGCTCCATCTTTTCCCAGAACAAATACCTCCGGGAGCACATTTACATTTAGCATTCATAATCAATAGCTTATATAAACGTTGAATAAATTAGTTATAACACACAATAATGTAGTTGTAAGCAGATATAAGTGTTTATTGATGTATTTATCAACAGCTGTAACTCCTCCAGAGGAGTTAATGAATAGTTAATAAATGAGAATGCAGTAAAACACAGTTGTATAATATAAAATATATAATCATAGCAGAAGGTATAATTGTTGACAAATGCTGTGCATTGATAATAAACACTTTGAGAGTCCAGACCTTCGTGCCCAAATCACTGAGCAGTGTTTGTTAGGTGAAGCATAGAGTTCTGGTAATGTCTTGGCCATCAAAAGAAAGCCATCTGGAGGCATTGTTAGCCATACGTCATTTAGCTGCCTGCATATTTTCATCTCAGTAGCTGTTTTGTTTCTGCTTCTTGTCTAATTTCCTGTGAGATTGTAGATTAATTCACTCTAATTTAATATATTTTAAAGCAACGTCAGCTAAGCTAGCAGAGCCGAACGTTACAGAAATACCAAATTCTGCTTATTAGAGCATCATCAGGTAGAGAAGTGAGTATGTGGGATTATTTTCAGTCTTTATTCAAGAGCGTTGTCTTTCATTGTGCTCTAACTGTGTGCTTGGTGTCAGATATGTTGTCGCTTGCGCAGATTCTCCTGCGCTCCAGCTTTCAATATCAAGCACACCCACATTGAGGCAGTGATCATTTCAATGGTCAACACTTAAAAACAAACTCCGAGAGCAGAGCAGAAGTCTGAGAGCAAACGTTTTTACGAGGGCAAGCGGTACAAAATGCGACGGTGAAATCAATAATTCATACTCCGATATGAGCTTAACCAATCAGAGGCCGAGTAAGACAAAGGGTCCACTGCAGATGTAGCAGGTGGACATTCTCACGTACACACACATCTACTTACTCAATTCTGCAGTACCTCACTCCTCAGCATGCACTAATGCTTACTCACTCACTCACTCGCTCACGTACTCGCACACCCACTGATTTACAGTATCCTTACTTCCCACACACAAATTCCCAGCGTGTCCACCCCCATCTCCACGTGCAGCAGTGTGAGCCATTATCTGTGTGTGTGTGTGAGTTATCAGATGGAACTTCTTAAGAAAACAGGTCAACCCAGTTACAATAGAAATACACACACACACAGACAGGAGATGCTGCAGGAGAATAAACATTCAGCAGGATAAAGAAGCTTTTGTCTTTTTGCAGTTGTTTGCAGAAAAGTAAAAACATATAATAAACGTTCTGTTTAAATCTCAGCAACATGATAAAGTTTCATAACTGCTCCTCTGTAAATTGAAACAAGGGCTGCAGCAGCAATCGATTATTTTAGTAATCGAGTATTCTACTGATATTTCTATCGGGTAATCAGATAAAAATACATTTACTTGAAATATTGAAATGATCCCAGACTTTGGACACTTTCATTTTTGTCTTTTTCTGTGGCCTGTCTCTTCTTCTTCCCTCGCTATTTTGTCTCTCTTCCTCCCATTTTGCAATCCGCGCCATCAAATCACATCATAATGTGCTGTATGTAGTTAAATAGATTAAACAAAGATGTTTTTTTCCGTAATCGAGTTACTTGAGTTTCTCGTTGAATCGTTTCAGCCCTAATTGAAACAATTTCCAAAAGCTAAATTAAAGCCCTTGGGCGAGTCGTCGACTGATACGGGTTTTTCTGTGGCTGATGCTGATATTTAGAGAGCGGGGCGAGCGATAAATAATGCTGATATTAAAACAAAGAACAGTCATGTATAATTGATTTTTCCATGCAGAGTACAATCTAATATACATGTTATCACAGCCAGTAACGTGTTGTTTTAGATGGAAGCTTTATTAATGAATGAAAAAGAAACGTGACTGGTGTTTAAGGGAGAGCGGGGTACAGTTTCTAAGAAGTGACGTTGTCCAGTTGCATGATTTTCTACAGTATAACTATCTATATTTTATACTACCCAGTAATAAAGGCACTTTTTCACCACCTTCCCAAAACTTACAAGTGGGATCGCTAACAACGTTAACGTTAAATTCATCCTCACGCAGCTCAAATGATAACATTTTTTTTTTTGTTTGTTTGTAGAAAAAAAATATTCCTTCAAAGTTCTCAAATGTTCAGTGAGCACAAACATCCAAACAGAAACTTTTATTTAAACCTGGCAAAAGTTCAGGAACTATTTAATCAGAGAATACTGTAATTAGACGAGATTATGGATCTGACCAGATTAGGGCTGGGCGGTATATCGGTATAATTTATATATGTAAGATTAGGTAATGCCGTTTATGCCGATTATAGTTTGATGTTGAGTTAATGTGTTTCCGTAAAGTCATGTCAGTGTTTGCTCCTCTCTCTCCCTCACTGCGAAGCCCCGCCCTCTGTGTCTGTGTCCGTCTACTCACAAACTCTCTAACAACATGGAGGGACACACAGTGCTGGCTGAGGACCTGGCTTGTAAAAAGAAAAAACACAGTTCATGCAGCGCCGCCCCCCCCCCCCACCTCTAGAGCAGAACCAATTAGTCAATCAACAAAAAAAATTACCAGGAGCTATTTTGATATTTCGATAATTATTATTCTCAGTAAATACATCATTTAAAAATACATAAATGAACACCCAAAGAAACAGTAGGACTTAAAAAATGAAAATGCAGAATTAAACATATATACATATCACTCTAATCATTTCTCAAGCAAAAATGCCAAATCTTTATTTCTAGCTTCTTATTTCTTAGGATTTGCTGTTTTTCTTTCTGTGACGGTGATTTGATATACTTGAACTCTGGACTGTGGTTTAGGCACAGTGGCTAGTTTCAGCCCAAACAAACTTTGGACAAGACAAGGGGAGTATCTCGTGATTGCCTGTATGAAGTGGAGGAGTAATCGCAGCCACAGATGATAAAATATCTACACTGTCGGGCTGTAATTGTAGGTATCATGTTATCAGATTGTTTTAGCACTGATATTTCTGGCAGTATAGGCCTCAAAATCCCGTGTCATTTCGTCTTTTAGTCCGGACCCCTCGGTTTGGAAAGCGCCGTGTGAGATCGATGCTCACAGATGTCG